ACGTTGCTGCTGTGCAGCAAAACTCATCTTTTAAATTGCTTTTTTTTTTTTTTTTTTTTGATTGGAAAATAAAACCCACCCTAAAAATCAGCGGAGAAGCAAAACGTGGGGGCTCGGCCCGGGGGAGCCCCTGGGGATCCAGTCCCCAATCCCCCTGGAATCCGATCCCCCCAGGATACGGTTCCTGATCCCCTGGGGATCCAGTCCCCACTCCCCCTAGGATCCATTTCCTGATCCCCCGACCCAGTCCCACCCCACCGATCCGGTCCCCAGTCCCACTAGGATCCAGTCCCTGATTCCCAGGATCTGATCTCCGGGATCCAGTCCCCAACCCCCTGGGGATCCAATCCCTCATCCCCCTGGGATCCAGTCTCCTGTCCCCTCCCGGATCCAGTTCCCCAGTCCCCCTGGGATCCAGTCCCTGAGCCCCCAAGGGAAGATTTACCCGTCCCATCCCGCCGGATCCAGCTGCCACCTCCTGCCCTCCTGGGGGTTGATCCTGGGGGCTTCCCGGACGTTCAGGGTCGCCCCCGCGCAGCCCCCGCGTCCCCAAGGGGCCGCGGCACCACTGACCCCGCTCCTCTCCTGCCGCAGGACGGCTCCGCAGGGATGCCTGGATGCCCCTTCCACCCCCCCCCCCCCCCCCCCCCCCCCCCTGCCGCGGGCCGGCCCCGCAGGGATGCCTGGATGCCCCTTCCAGCCCCGGCCCTGCTCCTGCCACCGGCGGCACCTCCCCAGCCACCCTAGACGCCGACAACGAGACGGGGCTGTGCAAGGGGCAGGACCTGCTGCGGGTGCCCCACGGCCTCCCCGGCGGCCTGCGCAGCCTTGACCTCTCCTACAACAAGCTACGGGAGATCACGGCGGGCGACTTTGCCAGCATGACCCAGCTGCGGCACTTGGATTTGGGCTACAACAACATCTCCCACATCGCGCCGGACGCCTTCCTCTCCAACCTCCTCTTGGAGCATCTCCGGCTTTTCAACAACTCCCTCCACCACATCCCGGCGCTGGCGTTGCAACCGTTGGTCAACCTCCGTTGGCTGGACATGTCCAACAACCTCTACCGCAGCGCGGCGTTGGGCAGCGTCTTTGGTGAGCTGCGGCAGTTGCAGGTGCTGTCGCTGGGGGGGCCGCTGCTGCGGGACATCTCCCGGGGAGACTTCGCAGTCTTGAAGGACACGGCGCTGCAGAAGTTCGCCATCAAGTCGGCCTCCAGCCTGCGGCAGTACGAAGCCGGGGCTTTCTCGTGGCTGAACACCACGGAGCTGTGGTGCGACATGGCCTTGGACGAGAGCGCGGCGGCTCTGCCGGTGATGCTGCAGGACCTGCGGGGCAAACCCCTCGACTACCTGCGTTTCCGTAACCTCTTCGAGTTCACCTACTACACTGGTGATGCCGATCCCTTCGCCGGCTTGGCTGAGTTGCAGATCACCAAGTTGGTCTTCTACCGGGGCAAGTTCAACGAGAACCTCCTCCGCTTGGCCCTGCTCAACGTCCAACGCTCCCGCGTCCGCGACTTGGCGCTGGTGGCCATCGACTTCGCCCGCTCGCCACAGTGGAACAACTCTGGCGTGGGGGCGGCTGCCCCACGGCTCGACCGCCTCTTGCTGCAGGACATCAGCAACCCCGACGTCCTGCGTTTCGACTGGACCTTCACCTGGTTGAGCGGCGTGGCCGCCCTCTCCATCATCAACGTCAACTTCAACTACGTCCCCTGCGACGCCTGGGGCGAGATGCGCAACGTGGAGGCCTTGGACATCTCCAGCAACCGTCTGGAAGATGGTTATATCTACAACCAACGTTGCCACTACCAGGGCGTCATGCCCAAGCTGGAGAGCTTCGTCTTGGCCGCCAACCAGCTTCTGCGCCTGGCTGTGGTAGCCGCCTTGACGCGGACCTGGCCCCGGCTTGCCCGCCTCGATGCCAGCCACAACGGCTTGGGCAGCCTGCAGGAGACGTGTCAATGGAGTCCCACCTTGCGTTGGCTGGCCCTGCACCACAACCGGGTGATGGCGGGCACCTTTGGGTGCCTGCCCACCACCCTCGAGTACCTGGACCTCTCCTACTCCCAGCTCGACCGCTTGGACATGGACTACTTCACCCGAAGCCCCCGGTTGCGGGAGCTGCGATTGAGCGGCAACAAGATCAAGTTCATCCCCTCTGAGTGGAGATGCCCCCGTTTGGAGGTGCTGACCATCGACGGCAACTCCTTTGGCGTCATCAACCGTGGCTCCTTCGTCAACATGCCGCGGCTCATCAGCCTGGCGGCCGGCAACAACCCCTACCACTGCACCTGTGACCTCTACCTCTTCTTGGAGGAGACGCAGCGACGGGGACGACCCATCTTGGCCGACTGGCCCCACAACTGGAGCCGGCCCCCCCACCGGGCCCTGCTCCCCCCCCGAGCCGCTGCTGGATACGGCCGTGGCCGCTTACGCCCCGCGTCCCTTGGAATGCAATGTGCTGGCGCTGGTGGCTGTGGCGGTGGCCAGCACGGCGGTGGCGGTGGCAGCGTGTGCCGTGCTCTGCTGGAAGCTGGACGCCGGTTGGTACCTGCGAGCCACGTACCGGTTGGTGCGGCCCAAGGACGGCAGGCGGGGGGCCACGAACCACCG